AGGAAATCGTCGAGGAACCCAAGGTGACTGAGGAAATCGTCGAGGAACCCAAGGTGACTGAGGAAATCGTCGAGGAACCCAAGGTGACTGAGGAAATCGTTGAGGAAATCGTCGAGGAACCCAAGGTGACTGAGGAAATCGTCGAGGAACCCAAGGTGACCGAGGAAATCGTCGAGGAAATCGTCGAGGAACCCAAGGTGACTGAGGAAATCGTCGAGGAACCCAAGGTGACTGAGGAAATCGTCGAGGAAATCGTCGAGGAACCCAAGGTGACTGAGGAAATCGTCGAGGAACCCAAGGTGACTGAGGAAATCGTCGAGGAACCCAAGGTGACTGAGGAAATCGTCGAGGAACCCAAGGTGACAGAGGAAATCGTCGAGGAAATCGTCGAGGAACCCAAGGTGACTGAGGAAATCGTCGAGGAACCCAAGGTGACTGAGGAAATCGTCGAGGAACCCACGGTGACCGAGGAAATCGTCGAGGAAATCGTCGAGAAACCCAAGGTGACCGAGGAAATCGTCGAGGAAATCGTCGAGGAACCCAAGGTGACTGAGGAAATCGCCGAGGAACCCAAGGTGACTGAGGAAATCGTCGAGGAACCCAAGGTGAGCGAGGAAATCGTCGAGGAACCCAAGGTGACTGAGGAAATCGTCGAGGAAATCGTCGAGGAACCCAAGGTGACTGAGGAAATCGTTGAGGAAATCGTCGAGGAACCCAAGGTGACTGAGGAAATCGTCGAGGAACCCAAGGTGACTGAGGAAATCGTCGAGGAACCCAAGGTGACCGAGGAAATCGTCGAGGAACCCAAGGTGACCGAGGAAATCGTCGAGGAACCCAAGGTGACTGAGGAAATCGTCGAGGAACCCAAGGTGACTGAGGAAATCGTCGAGGAACCCAAGGTGACTGAGGAAATCGTCGAGGAACCCAAGGTGACTGAGGAAATCGTCGAGGAAATCGTCGAGGAACCCAAGGTGACCGAGGAAATCGTCGAGGAAATCGTCGAGGAAATCGTCGAAGAACCCAAGGTGACCGAGGAAATCGTCGAGGAAATCGTCGAGGAACCCAAGGTGACTGAGGAAATCGTCGAGGAACCCAAGGTGACTGAGGAAATCGTCGAGGAAATCGTCGAGGAACCCAAGGTGACTGAGGAAATCGTCGACGAACCCAAGGTGACTGAGGAAATCGTCGAGGAACCCAAGGTGACCGAGGAAATCGTCGAGGAAATCGTCGAGGAACCCAAGGTGACTGAGGAAATCGTCGAGGAACCCAAGGTGACTGAGGAAATCGTCGAGGAAATCGTCGAGGAACCCAAGGTGACTGAGGAAATCGTCGAGGAAATCGTCGAGGAACCCAAGGTGACCGAGGAAATCGTCGAGGAAATCGTCGAGGAACCCAAGGTGACTGAGGAAATCGTCGAGGAAATCGTCGAGGAACCCAAGGTGACTGAGGAAATCGTCGAGGAAATCGTCGAGGAACCCAAGGTGACTGAGGAAATCGTCGAGGAACCCAAGGTGACCGAGGAAATCGTCGAGGAAATCGTCGAGGAAATCGTCGAGGAACCCAAGGTGACTGAGGAAATCGTTGAGGAAATCGTCGAGGAACCCAAGGTGACTGAGGAAATCGTCGAGGAACCCAAGGTGACTGAGGAAATCGTCGAGGAACCCAAGGTGACTGAGGAAATCGTCGAGGAACCCAAGGTGACTGAGGAAATCGTCGAGGAACCCAAGGTGACCGAGGAAATCGTCGAGGAAATCGTCGAGGAACCCAAGGTGACTGAGGAAATCGTCGAGGAACCCAAGGTGACTGAGGAAATCGTCGAGGAAATCGTCGAGGAACCCAAGGTGACTGAGGAAATCGTCGAGGAAATCGTCGAGGAACCCAAGGTGACTGAGGAAATCGTCGAGGAACCCAAGGTGACTGAGGAAATCGTCGAGGAACCCAAGGTGACCGAGGAAATCGTCGAGGAAATCGTCGAGGAACCCAAGGTGACTGAGGAAATCGTCGAGGAACCCAAGGTGACTGAGGAAATCGTCGAGGAAATCGTCGAGGAAGCCAAGGTGACTGAGGAAATCGTCGAGGAACCCAAGGTGACTGAGGAAATCGTCGAGGAACCCAAGGTGACCGAGGAAATCGTCGAGGAACCCAAGGTGACTGAGGAAATCGTCGAGGAAATCGTCGAGGAAGCCAAGGTGACTGAGGAAATCGTCGAGGAACCCACGGTGACCGAGGAAATCGTCGAGGAAATCGTCGAGGAACCCAAGGTGACTGAGGAAATCGTCGAGGAACCCAAGGTGACTGAGGAAATCGTCGAGGAAATCGTCGAGGAACCCAAGGTGACTGAGGAAATCGTTGAGGAAATCGTCGAGGAACCCAAGGTGACTGAGGAAATCGTCGAGGAACCCAAGGTGACTGAGGAAATCGTCGAGGAACCCAAGGTGACTGAGGAAATCGTCGAGGAACCCAAGGTGACTGAGGAAATCGTCGAGGAACCCAAGGTGACTGAGGAAATCGTCGAGGAAATCGTCGAGGAACCCAAGGTGACTGAGGAAATCGTCGAGGAACCCAAGGTGACTGAGGAAATCGTCGAGGAACCCAAGGTGACTGAGGAAATCGTTGAGGAAATCGTCGAGGAACCCAAGGTGACTGAGGAAATCGTCGAGGAACCCAAGGTGACCGAGGAAATCGTCGAGGAAATCGTCGAGGAACCCAAGGTGACTGAGGAAATCGTCGAGGAACCCAAGGTGACTGAGGAAATCGTCGAGGAAATCGTCGAGGAAGCCAAGGTGACTGAGGAAATCGTCGAGGAACCCAAGGTGACTGAGGAAATCGTCGAGGAACCCAAGGTGACCGAGGAAATCGTCGAGGAACCCAAGGTGACTGAGGAAATCGTCGAGGAAATCGTCGAGGAACCCAAGGTGACTGAGGAAATCGTCGAGGAACCCAAGGTGACTGAGGAAATCGTCGAGGAACCCACGGTGACCGAGGAAATCGTCGAGGAAATCGTCGAGGAACCCAAGGTGACTGAGGAAATCGTCGAGGAAATCGTCGAGGAACCCAAGGTGACTGAGGAAATCGTCGAGGAACCCAAGGTGACTGAGGAAATCGTCGAGGAACCCAAGGTGAGCGAGGAAATCGTCGAGGAACCCAAGGTGACTGAGGAAATCGTCGAGGAAATCGTCGAGGAACCCAAGGTGACTGAGGAAATCGTCGAGGAAATCGTCGAGGAACCCAAGGTGACTAAGGAAATCGCCGAGGAACCCAAGGTGACTGAGGAAATCGTCGAGGAACCCAAGGTGACCGAGGAAATCGTCGAGGAACCCAAGGTGACTGAGGAAATCGTCGAGGAAATCGTCGAGGAACCGAAGGTGACCGAGGAAATCGTCGAGGAAATCGTCGAGGAAATCGTCGAGGAACCCAAGGTGACTGAGGAAATCGTCGAGGAAATCGTCGAGGAACCCAAGGTGACTGAGGAAATCGTCGAGGAACCCAAGGTGACCGAGGAAATCGTCGAGGAACCCAAGGTGACTGAGGAAATCGTCGAGGAACCCAAGGTGACTGAGGAAATCGTCGAGGAACCCAAGGTGACTGAGGAAATCGTCGAGGAACCCAAGGTGACTGAGGAAATCGTCGAGGAACCCAAGGTGACTGAGGAAATCGTCGAGGAACCCAAGGTGACCGAGGAAATCGTCGAGGAACCCAAGGTGACTGAGGAAATCGTCGAGGAAATCGTCGAGGAACCCAAGGTGACCGAGGAAATCGTCGAGGAACCCAAGGTGACTGAGGAAATCGTCGAGGAACCCAAGGTGACTGAGGAAATCGTCGAGGAAATCGTCGAGGAACCCAAGGTGACCGAGGAAATCGTCGAGGAACCTAAGGTGACTGAGGAAATCGTCGAGGAACCCAAGGTGACTGAGGAAATCGTCGAGGAACCCAAGGTTACTGAGGAAATCGTCGAGGAAATCGTTGAGGAACCCAAGGTGACTGAGGAAATCGTCGAGGAACCCAAAGTGACTGAGGAAATCGTCGAGGAACCCAAGGTGACCGAGGAAATCGTCGAGGAAATCGTTGAGGAACCCAAGGTGACTGAGGAAATCGTCGAGGAACCCAAGGTGACTGAGGAAATCGTCGAGGAAATCGTCGAGGAACCCAAGGTGACCGAGGAAATCGTCGAGGAAATCGTTGAGGAACCCAAGGTGACTGAGGAAATCGTCGAGGAACCGAAGGTGACTGAGGAAATCGTCGAGGAACCCCAGGTAACCGAGGAAATCGTCGAGGAAATCGTCGAGGAACCTAAGGTGACTGAGGAAATCGTCGAGGAACCCAAGGTGACTGAGGAAATCGTCGAGGAACCCAAGGTGACCGAGGAAATCGTCGAGGAACCCAAGGTGACTGAGGAAATCGTCGAGGAACCCAAGGTGACTGAGGAAATCGTCGAGGAACCCCAGGTAACTCTGGAAATCGTCGAGGAAATCGTCGAGGAACCTAAGGTGACTGAGGAAATCGTCGAGGAACCCAAGGTGACTGAGGAAATCGTCGAGGAACCCAAGGTGACTGAGGAAATCGTCGAGGAACCCAAGGTGACTGAGGAAATCGTCGAGGAACCCAAGGTTACTGAGGAAATCGTCGAGGAACCCAAGGTGACTGAGGAAATCGTCGAGGAACCCAAGGTGACTGAGGAAATCGTCGAGGAGCCCAAGGTGAGCGAGGAAATCGTCGAGGAACCCAAGGTGACTGAGGAAATCGTCGAAGAGCCCAAGGTGAGCGAGGAAATCGTCGAGGAACCCAAGGTGACTGAGGAAATCGTCGAGGAAATCGTCGAGGAACCCAAGGTGACTGAGGAAATCGTCGAGGAACCCAAGGTGACTGAGGAAATCGTCGAGGAAATCGTCGAGGAACCCAAGGTGACTGAGGAAATCGTCGAGGAGCCCAAGGTGAGCGAGGAAATCGTCGAGGAGCCCAAGGTGAGCGAGGAAATCGTCGAGGAACCCAAGGTGACTGAG